GATGCCACCCACCAGATGATAAAGAATAACGCTAGCACGAAAATATAAAGGTAGGCCCGATACTTTCCGGACAGCCTCGTAGATTTCAATTTACCAAAAAGTTGAGAAGTATAGCTGAACGGAAAGTCCTTAAAAGATAAACAATAACAAATGCAAAGAAATTTCGTTTAGTCAAGTACATTCTTGATTAAAAATCGTCTTAAGTTTTATAAATTGAAAAGCACATAGTGATATTGAACAATTGGCTGAAGTTTCAGAAACTGAAATTAAAAAAAGATACTGAAGAATTTTCAAAATACAGTGACTCCCAAGTAGTATGAATTATACAGATTATATATAATTTTTCTTTAGATATATTTTGTTTTATGGATTTTATGAATTTTATAGATTGTTGTGGAAAATTCTGATTTTTGTTTGAAAAGAAAATAATTATTACTGCTTTTCACTGCACTTTGTACATTGTTTTTTCAAAATTGAATTGTGACGAGTATTGAAAGTTAGATTTCAATAAACGATTCCTTTTTTTTCTAAAATTTTCGTAGTCAACAATATCAAAAAAGTATTACTAAAAGATATGCCTTGTAGGCGTTTTTCCATCGTTGAAAAAATGTTAGACAATTTTTGATGCCAGATTTGGATTTATAGCAGCAAATTGTATAAAATACTGTTTTTTGAAATTAATTTTGAAACGGTTAAGACTGGTAAATGTAGAAAAAAATTGTAAAAATTTTGTTGCATCAAGTTTCGAAGGTCATTTGCAGGTTATATAATAAATTTTTGTCTCTATAGTATTTCTCTCGGATTTTAGATCAGTCTAGGTTTTATTTGCTTGACAGCTCATATTTTTGGCTCTACTCTTAGCCGAGATATTTGATTTTTTCATACTAAAAAAAAAAAATTGTCCACAGTGCGTCGGTGTTAGTCAAGAAGATTGATGGTATCAACCGTCTGGTATAAAGATGCTGCTCAGAAGATTGTATGGCATACATTACATTTCGAAGATAGGATAGAAAAATTGAAAAGTGAATATCTGCAAGTAATTCTAACGAAAAAGAACAACAAATAGAGGGCTTTCGTTGTCCCGGGATTGTGGCCTGTGGAAATTAAAACGGACAGATCATCTACAGGTTAATTTACGCGCTTGATGGATGCATTGTTTTATTCAAATAGGAACTGCATGTATTCAAATATCTGGATGATATGATCATAGTCACAGAGGCGTTCGAGAAACACCGTATTTACAGAACGCCGGACAGGCAACAGCAACAACGTGACAACGAGCAATTCCTCAGCACTACAGACCAGTGCAATATTTATGTATTAGGCATTACTCAAGATTTATAAGTCGAGTCGCCCCGGCTCTCGTAGCGATTCTGCTATTGTTTTGCAAGTTGTCTCCGGCATCCGTGAAATCCAGCAGGAAGAACAGGAGCAGAAGCGACAGTAAAAGTAGCAACAGTAGCGGTAGGAGTAGTTATAACGGCAGCGTGAGCTCTCTCTCTCTCTTTCTTTATCTCTTCCCTGTCACCACACGGGAGCGATTTTATCAGTTGTCACCGACTCGAGGTGCCATTTTATCCAACCGTGAGCATTAGTACCACGATTGAGCACTCTATTATCCTAAAGGAGAGGTTTATGATTGCGCAGGTGAGCAGTCGAGACAGCCCGTAATAGCTGACCTACTGTTTGAGGACACTCCTTGCTCGATCATTTAAAGCATGTTATAACCGGGCTACAATTTTTTTCTTTTTTTTATATTTTATTTTTTATAAGAGCCGGTAATAAATCAATTATTTGTATCATCGAAATATCGGCGTGATTTCGTGCGTTTACTTTCTCTATCGGATTTCTATACTTTTGCACATGAACGTAGCAACCTGCACATCAGGTACATTACTCAGTATCTGAAGCATTCATGTCTAGATTCCCCGCGTAAATAAATTAGTAAATGGAATCACGGACCAAATTGAAAACGACTCTACCTTTACAGATGAAATACATGAAAGTATTAAAGTCTCAATGAAACTCCCAGATCTTTTATATAATATTCTGTATAGGAAATAAAATATATCAATAGCAATGAATTATATGGCCTGTCGAGATTTTTAACCAAACACTAGAGTATATATTTCTAAAAGTTTTTGATACGCTAAATCCAAATCCTAGATATAAAATCTTTCAATTAGCTCTAGTTTCCGAAATATCCTAACTTAAAAGTGCAAAAATAGTGTTTTTTGTCTATTTTTCAAGTTATGTAACACCGAATTTTCTTTTTTGTTTAAAAAAACTTTATGAATAGTCTCTTAAAGTGGCAGTCTTGTCCTTTCAAATGCTGTTGAATTTACTCAATTATTTGTTTTTGCTGAGTTACTGCATTTTGAAATGTTGGAAAAACGGGTGTGTATCAAGAGAAAATAGAGAGAGTGATAACAAGGCAGATGTCTATGATAACTAAAAATGTACCTAAACCTATTTTATTTCTAAAGTTATAAAACTTGTAATGTACAAACCTAAAACCCTAAACCTACAAACTCCAATCCCACAAATCCTAAACCCAACCCATGAACCTCAAATACACAAACCCGAAACTGAAATTTATCAAAGTTTGAAGTTTATTTTAGGCTTTGTGGGTTTGGTGCTTGTAAGTTTAGGATTTTTATGTTTTAGATTTTTACAGGTTTGGAGATTTGGGATTTTCTGTTGATATATTACAATTTTTATAGCTCTCACTAATGTTCAGATAAATGCTTTGATGCATAATTTCAAAATATCTTAGCAAAAACTAATATTTGAGCAAACTCAACGGTATTCCAAAGGGCAAGACTTTTTTTTTAAGATAAAATTTATAGTTATTTACGCAAAACATAAAGTTCGGCGCTACGTAACTTTAAAAATATGCAAAACACGCTATTGTTGTACTTTTAGCTTAGAATATCTCAGAAACCAGAACCAATGGAAGGATCGGGATGTCGGATTTTGATTCAGTGCATCGAAAATCTATGGACATATATACTCTGGTTTTTGAGTCAGACGGTTGACTCAATTTTGTAGGCTTGTGTTATTTATTTACTGCTCTGCTATTTGACGTGTGATGGATGAGACAATCGTTGAGATTACTCGTCTTCCGCGTGCCCTTCCCTTCGCCTCTCCACAGTCTTAGTGATTCGGACCAAGTATCGACGTTCAATGTAGCTTTCTTTTAGGTTTAGTTCTTGATCGGCGTCAGTGGTTGGAGCCGTGTGAGGAAAGGAGAGAGATAGAGAAAGAGAGAGAAATAGTATCGCCGACGTGACTCGCACGTGTGTGCGTAGCTGGTGGTGCTCGGTCGATTTTGGGTGCTGAGGGAAGGGGAAGGGAATACTGCGAGGAATAGGAGAGCGCGAGCAGTACTGGCCAGGCCAGTGTCGTGAGCGATAGCCGAAGAAGTAAAAATCGAGATAGAGTGATCTATAGCATTCATCAGTCCTCCTTTGGCGACGGAAAGCAGCGATAAGACTGCGACAGGCAACTAGCCCTTTCTGGACTCTCCTGGGAGCTCGAGAAGACGTGCAGCCACAGCGAGAGGGACGTCGAGGAGTAGCAGAGCGATACCGGCTGAAGCTGATCGCCGGGTTCCCGACAACGCCCCTTCCCTGAGGTCAGGTACTCTTTTGTATTATTGGTGCGCCCCTCGGTTTCCCTTCTCTCTCTCGGATAAATCGTCAGAACGCGGACAGGTAGGTGCGTGCGTTTAACTCGCACCACATTTGCCGGACGACTAGACGAGTGGGTGAGGCGAAGCTTTGTCTCCACTGTGTTCACTCGCACGGAGACAGGCTCGCACGGACTTCTTTCTAATGCGAAGTCGCATTTATCATTGTAACGATTAATGAATAAAGACATTCATTGTTCATCACATTTATTGTTAACAATAAATGATTTGAATCATTCCCGCGTCTTCTCCTGTCCTTCAATTGCAGCATCCGGACCGCCGAACGACGAAAACCCATCGACGTCTTCCGCGGCGAAGCATGCGCCTTTCGTATTTTCCCTTTTTATAAATATCTAGTAGCGCGACGTTATTTTGGGCTACTGACTATCACGAACCGAGTTACGAAACGAATCGTGTTACAGATGTTTCATTTTAATAAGATCAGTAATGGTCAGTGATAGTCACACGAAATAAACCTCTGAGTGCGTGTTGCTATACTGTGTATATGAGAGCGAATGCGTAAGATATTACTTATCTGTACAACGTTTGAGAGAAAGTAAGCGAAATGGGAAGAGAGAAAGACAATATAAAGCGAATGATCTTGGTGTCGAAATTTTAGGTTGATCCATTTGTATCGACAATATTCACTGAGTGAAGGATTATCGTATTAATAAGATAAGTAAAGGTGCACTGCAGGATTTTGGATGCACTACGGATACAACACCAAGAGCTATCGTCGCCGATTTATGGAGTTACGGCTGACCAAAATTGTGGCTGACAATATTTATGGCCAGCTACAACTGTTGACCATTTTTACGATAGTAAAAGGTCACTCTTTTGGATATACTGTTGCTTTCTTTTCCTGCTTTCATACAAAGAGATATTCAATTACAACTGCTTGTCGCAATTTTGCATCATTGCGTAAGTTACTCATTTACTCATTGTCGAGTGCATTAGATTCACATACGTGTTTCTGTTTTTGATCAATATTAGGTTATTAGAAAGTGAAATTCTCTTTGCCATTGTTGTTGTATGAATCACCTATTCTAGAATATATCACATTTAGTACTAAATTGTGTCTTAATTCAACCTTTAACCATAACGTGGTACAGAACATAATGTAATTTCGCGATTTCAGTCGTCAAAAGCTACCAGCTGTAAAGACACCTAGCATTCAAGTGCCGGATAGTTTAGCATTATAAATTATTTAGCTGTTGGGAAGCATATAATTAAAATCAACCCTCGTTACAGATAATATGCATAGTATATTCATATAAATTGTGCTATGAAATAATTTTTATTAACTCACCTTCATGCCTAGTATCACTTTGGGTGTAACATTGCATATAAGCTGCAAAAATATATATTGATTAGCATGTGTTTTTACGACGCTTAAATGGATATAATACATAAATTTCAAAAATTATATTCAATATTTCACATTATAGAATTAACTCACTTCTATTAATTTACAACTAAAAATAGAACTAAAAGAGATTCGGTTAGTAATAGAGTTAGGTAAAGAAATGTGTTACAAGATATCATAAAATTTATTATTTTTACGATACAGAACTATTTGCCATTCAATTGGTAATATATTATATTGTTGAACTTGCTTAATTAACTTAAATATTCATTGATGAGTTTAACAACAAAATATAAAGAAAAAGTAGTAATTTTGACACATCCTCCTATCTTACTCATAAGATGAAGTTTCCAACGATCCTGATAGTTAATATTTCGTCATCATGTAATCTGTATCTAATTGAAATCGGAATTCACCGTTACTGATATGATTCTGTGATGGCGGGCCATATGATTTCAACTTTTAAATTTCAAGGAAATAATTTTTTCTTAGTATTAAGACCAACGGCATAGTTGAAACCGTTTCCCATAAGCTATGGGATCCAAGTCAAGTGTTGCAGGGAAATTTTCGTTGACATTCTCCAAACGGCAATAAAATCTATAGTCTAAATTTATGTAAGCGTGCATTCCCTATTTTTATTATGCTCTTCCGCCCCTCACACCCTCGCACTTACATACAAAGCCTCCGAACACGTGGGCGCCGAAATGCCGATAAGAGAAGAGGGCCATAAAATCGCGTCAATTAGAAATTAGGCATTAGAAATTATGAAATAATTTTTTTTTGAATTTGAATATTTTAACATCCGACATCTTGGAATCGCCCCGGCTGAGATTTAACCGGCCGACTCGAGCGGTGGGTGCTAGATTTCCAAAGGCTCGACTGCAAGCTAGTGCATAGGAAGAGTGCTTTGCACCATGTCCCAGATGCACTCTCGCGCGAGTTTGAGGATGAGGCAAAGTTCGGCGAATTTGCGACAATCAAGGACTCTTGGTACCTGCAGAGACGCCAAGAAGTCCGAGAGCGGCCGAAGAAATATAAGAATTGGAATGTAGAGGACGACCTGCTATATCGCTATATGACCGACTATAATAATAATTATATATTGATTAATCAACTATATAATATTGACTATATAATCGATCCGGTTATCAATAGCGAAGACTGCTGGCGAATGGTTGTTCCGCTCGAATATCGAGAAAGTGTTTTGTAGGATGCCCATTGTGTACCTTCCGCCGGACATTTCGGACAGGATAAGAGTGGTTGTTTGAGAGAGAGAGAGACATAACGAGTGGTTTATCGCACGTTATAATATATATATATATAATTTCATGATACGTTGTATTAAAGCATGCTATAATTTTTTTTTAGGATGACAGCATCTAGTAATGGCTCGGAAGAAGGAGAAGAAGAAGAAGAAGAAGAAAAAGAGGAAGAAGGTGAAATTGAAGAAAGCGATCGTGTATGCTAACCAGAAGAAGAGGTTTCACGCGAAGATGCGTATAAGGCTGCACTGACACTCTTGAAGTTTCTTGAGAATGATTGGGATTCTACGCCAGGCCAAATCAAAAATATCCAAAATCTTGCAGATCATTACTAACTATAAGCCAATTTGAGTTTTTCATAATTTAATTTTGATATTTATGTGATTTCTCAGTTCCTATATGTGATAAAAAAATATCTAGTTTGTACAATGAAAATAAAATAGATTTTTATTGATTTTTTACCAAACGCGTTGTGTATTGTGATTTTTATTGAAAACGAGACGTGATGAAAAAAAATACCAGTATGTAATTTGCAATTGCTTATAAAAATTATTTAAACGAATTAATAGATCTTTTATTTATAAAAACTAAAAAAACCATTGGTGTTATTGGTTTTTCAAAATCGGTACTTTTTAAAAAATTTTGAATTGTTTATAATGATTTTACACTAACAAATTAGAATCTGACAAAAAAAAACGCGATAGAGAATGTCTTAGATTTTCTCGTCAAACCAATTGATGCTTTTAATTTTTTTAAAGAAAAAAAAATTTTCCGATTTATTTTTATAATAAACAAAATTTTTAGCGATTTATTTTTATAATAAAAAAGTAACAAAAATATAAAAAAATATGGTATTAAAAAAAAGAAGTATTTCGTTCGTTCATGTTTTACAAAGAAATTAAATAATTAATTATTGCCTATACATATGTAGAAATCATAAATAAAATTTATTTGCGTTCAATTTTTTAAATTATCAAAAAAAAGTTGACTATCATATTAATTATACTTTGTTGTTAACGTATGAATTTTGTTTAATATAAGGAGCAGCTGCTTATTTTGAACTAACTATTTTTGAGTGCCCCAAAGGGCCCACGCGGCAAGCTACAGTATGCCCATACCTGGCCATACGCTCTGATTGGCTGCCGCTCACCGAGAAGTGCCGGGGCGAGCTACTCCCGAGAGCGAGAAGTGCCGGGGGTTCGACTGTATATATATATTATGAGTTAACCAAACATGTTTTGAAGTTTGGACCACATAAAAAGCAATTGATTAATCTTGAGTTGCCGTATAAATATACGTACACGCGCCGCATATCATTCCGTTAACGTCGTGTAACGTCGGCCCGTTTAATTTAGCGAAAATGTTTTTTTTGTGTGTGTTTAATATGTGACTTAGATTTTAATTTGGAAATAAGAATAAGAAGAACATTCAGCAGAAATAAAAAAAGTGCAAGTTTCAAAATCAAAACAGATGCTTATTGGTCGCCCGTTTTTCCAAATTTTACTTCAAAAAATCGTAAAGATTTTGTTGCGTAGGTTTAGATATAAAGTAATGGAGCAGTGAAATTTAAACTACATCCTGTTACACGATTTCTTCCAAAAGTTTCCACTTTTAGAAGCTAAAAATTTATCATAGGAAAGAGAATTCGACAATAATTTTTAAATAAATGAATTAAGAAAATAACCAAATGATAGGAAAAATTCGCAGCTCCCTAAAACCTCCCGCACGTTTTGTGATCAAAGACGTATATTCAGCACAATTAATGAAAATATCCGAAAGTCTTGAAACTATTTTTCCTAAATAAGTTAGAAAATTTAATAAATATTCAAGAGACAATTACATAAATGAACAGTAGTATATTAGTCCATTATGCGAGACAAATTAAAATCGTATTTGTAGAAAACAAAATTAATTCGAATAAATAAAATAATAAATATAACCTATTAACAAATTTGTTTTTGTATTTAAGTTATACAAATTAATTGTGCAGAAATTAAATAAATCAAAGGGCCAACAAAACTCGAAAAAACAATCTCCGAACAATAAATTAATTAGATAATTCACCCTCGATTATATATTAAGTTTCATGTAAACGACTTTAGTTAAGTTTTATGTAACCGATAAATAAAGCACAATTTCTCCCTTCTCATTCTAGATTATTTAAACAACAAATTTAGTTAATTATTTAAGTTACAAATTATAAACACGTGGAATTAAAGATTTTCGAATAAAATATGTTCTGATAGTATGTAAGCCGTGCTATTGTTAAGAATGATCCATGAACATTTATATAATAAATAAACTAATAATTATAAGTTAAAATTGTAACGAAAATGGTACTTGGAGAGCCATCTAACGAGGTAGGACCCATACACTTGACCGCACGCCCTCAATTTCCACCACACCCCCGAACCAATTATAGGATCCGAAAGCCGAGAGGGAAAAGTGGAAAGATCACAGTCAGCCAATTAAAAACTGCTGCCACAAGCGAAAAAAGGGCAATCTAGTTTAATCTAGTGCCAGTTCCAGTTCCAAATAAAGGTAGGAACCCATCTCTCCTAGTGCCAGAAAGCTACGTCAAATAAAAAAAAAGTAAGTTAAAACAAAAAATTTTTTTTTGCTATCCTATCTTTCCTCTTCCACTTTGTGCTAACTCAGCTAATCGAAACTCGAAAGATTTAAGTCTTTGAGAAATATTTCAGCAAAATCTGGGATATTTTTCTGTAAGACAGCCGCGCCGTTTGAGAGTCAATTAAATTAATTTTTTGTGACAATTCTAGCAAGGTCTGGGATATTCACATACAAGTCCCGATTCCATTGGATCATGGTGTTCGATGAAAGACTTGTAGTCTGAAATTTTTCATTTAACGCGAAACGCGAAATAGAAAGCTCTGATTCTCCAATTGCTCATCCCGGTTTAGGCGTACGCACGCAAATCAAAAAGAGCACCTGAAATAACGTCCGCCTCAGACGTTCCTGAGATAGTGACCCGGACGTCACATAAAATTTTTGGAGACCCCGGAGGGATGTGTTGGAGTAAAAGAGCTTTGTAGGATTCTAACAATCTCATACTTTCCTGTTTTCTTTTTTTATACAGAAAGTAGAATTACCTTAGGGAAAGAATATTAAATCGAAAGTAACAAAATTGAAGTAAAGTAATAAAATTGAAAAAATTGCAAAGATTTACTTAATAAAATTGAAACAGTTAAAACTAAAAAAAAATATTATAATAGAAACATTTGAATCTAAAATAAACTGAAAACAAAAATTGAAAGTTATACTAAAACTGAAAATCAATAAAAATTGGAAAAGATGTTATAAGAAATTATTTGAAAGATAAACGCTAAAAGAAAAGTGGAGATATTGTTTAAAGATAATTTTTTTTTGTGTGACAAAATATTGAGATAGAAAATTTCCATTCTATTTGAAAATTTAGACGTTAAATGGAAAAATGGAAAATTAAATATTGAAATTGAAAGACATTAATAATTATAGAATTTGAATGAATTGTAACGGGGTGGATTAGCTAGTACAAAAAGAATTTATTAAAGCACAATCTCCCACGATGCAGAGCTAACCTCCACTCCGTTAAACACGTATAAGTATACGTGTATTCGCCTTTACGTTTAATACTTTCGTTTTAGTATCTTCTTTCCAAGTCATCTGACTTGTGACACTCGATCTATCTTAGGTGTGAGTGACCTAATGCTTATTACACCTAAT